GAATGCAAAAGCTCTGATCTGTGGTTGATCTGTTGTGTCGAAACCCACACTGATGGTCCCCAATAATTTCATCTATATATGAACTTAACCTTGAGAGAAGAATATTGGATAAAATTTTGTATGAAGTTAATAGTAGTGATATTTCCCCATAATTTCTAGTCAGTTTTATCATCCTTCTGGTGAACTGGTACAATAGTAGATTCCTTCCACTGATCAGGCAATTTTTCCTTATTCCAAATAGAAGTAATTAGCTTATGGATCTTAGAACGTAATATTTCGCCTCCTGCTTGAATAAGTTCTGCTGGAATTTGATCACTACCTGGCAGTTTATACCTTTTCAATTTTGCAATAGCAATTTCAACCTCAAAAGGGCTGGGATGAAGTATTAATGGCTCAGTTGTGTGCATTTCTATCTGCCTGACATCACCGACCCTATGTACATTCAATAACTGAGAGAAGTAGTTCCTCCACCTATTCAAAATGTTGTGGGAATCTGCAATCAGATCACCATTCTCATCCTTCACTAAGTTACTGCTAGGTTGGTAACCCATCTTAAAGTCATTTATTCCTCTATAAAGGTTTCTAATTTTCTTGTTCTTACTGTTCATTGCAAGCTCATCAATTTTGTCTTTCACATATTCCCTCTTTATCCCCCTCCCCCCCCTGAAATGCCTGCTGGTTTCACGTCTTATATTGTTCAGATTATCCCCATTCATCTCACTTGGATCCTGTTACCATTTCAATTTGGCCTGCTTTCTTTGATCTAATAATTCTGAGCATCCTTCATCGAACCATGGCTTATGCTTCTTCAGTTCATAACAACCCAGACTCTCTTTGGCAGACATTTTTATATTCTCTCTAATAGTTTCCCAAGTTTTATTAACATCCACCTCAGTGTCCAAGTTTTCCAAAGCCGCAAACCTATTTGAGATTTCAACACGATACTGCTCTTTACCCTCTACCTCATTTATTTCTTGAGATTGTACCTCTCCATATGAACTCTGTGTGTTGTTTGTTTGCTCACTGCCAGTCTTTCCCTAACCTTTGCCACCACCAGGTAGTGGTCAGTATCACAATCTGCTGCCCTGAATGATCGGACATCAAGTATCCTTGAGTGCCGTCTCCTATCTATCAAAATATGGTCTATTTGATTGTGTATCTTCCCATCAGGAGATGTCCAAGTAAATTTATGGATGTTACGATGTGGGAACATTGTACATTTGACAGTAAGATTTTTTGATGTGGCAAAGTTTACTACTCCAACTCCACTATCTTTACTAATTTCATGCAAACTCTCATTCCCAATCATTGGTTTGAAAACGTCTTCCCTCCCTACTTTGGCATTAAAATGTCCTAGAAAAAAATTCGTAGGGTACATCAGGAATTTATCAAATACCTGTTCTAGTTCTTCATAGAACCTGTCCTTTATGTTATCAATTTTATCTTCTGTTGGAGCGTGAACATTCACAACAATGACATCACACCAGTGACCTTTTAGTATTATATATGATATCCTATCACTAACGAACTCTACCCTCTTAACTGCTGATACGGTTCTCTTATGTACGAAAAAACCTGTACCTAATTCATGATTTTCATTCCCCTTTCCATAGGAAAATGTATATTCTCCTGCTGGTGCAATGCCACCTCCGTCCCGTTTGACCTCCTGTACTCCCGCTAAATCTAACTTTTATTTTAAGATTTCTTCCGCCACTGCCCTGAGCGAACCTGCCCTATACAAACTTCGAACATTCCAAGTGCCAAATCTCATATCCATTTTCTTTAGCTTAAGTCGTTTATCGAAGGAATCCGTCAAGGTCCGAGGCTTTGTGTTCATTTTCGTAACGAAGTATTATTTACGGTGAGGAGTTGTTAGCCCCACGCCCACCCCCCAAGCTGGAGGACCACCCCTTGTCGGCTGTCCGCGACTGCTTATTCAATATATTCGCAGCTT